CTATTGAATATTTAAATTGACTGGATAAGGCGAGGAAGTAGGAGATTATAAAGGTTTCAGAATAAACGTAAACAACGTCTGTCTAACACAGTATATTCTGACCGACTGACTACATTCGTTTGAATTTGGGTAAAGTGTCCCGGACACAAATACATATACAGACTTCGTCTGTGTAATTGAACTATTGTCACCGTTGCTTTCAACACTTCCCCTCAACGGTGCTTAACGTTGTCTTTCGTCCAGTCCTTTAGACCCATCACTTCTGACAACATTTTTAAGCGTTGCGGTCCCAATGGCTTTGTCAAAATGTCCGCCACGTTGTCCTCGGTAGGGCAATACTGAACCTTGACAATTCCACCTTTCTGTAGATCCTTTGCGTAGAAATGCTGCGTGTCGATGTGCTTCGTCCTGGTGCTTGGTCCGTCAGCTTGCAGGCTATTGATGCAGCTCTGATTGTCCTCCATTATAACTACTGGATCCACAGGACTTTGGTCACAGAAATCTAGGATTTTTATGATCCAGACAACCTCTCTGCATGCTTCTGATAAAGCGACGATTTCGGCTTCTGTGGAAGAAACAGATACACAAGTTGGTTTTCTTGCCCAATTGACAGTTCCCCCGTTCAACATGAAGACGAAACCGCTGTTGGATTTTCTATTGTCCCTTGCCTCTGCCCAATTCGCGTCTGCATAGCCCATGAGCTAGAAATTTCTTCCCCTGATGTAGCTCATTCTCAATTCATAACTAATTGCGGTCTTGAGGTATCTGCAGACACGTTGAAGTTCGTTCCAGTCGACTTCCGTTGTGTCTTTGATGTGTCGAGTCAATATCGATATGGATGCTGCGATATCTGGTCTCGAGTTAACTGCAATATATAATAATGATCCAATTAATTTTTGCTGGAGATGAAACTCGAATTTTCTCGTATCCTAGATCCACTGGGTACGAAGATCCTTTTGCGTTCTCCAACTTTGCCTTCCGAAGAACTTTTTGGATGTAATCCGATTGACTAATGAAGAAGTCCCCGTTATTGTCTCTGCGTACTTGTACTCCCAGATAACAAGTAAGAACTCCAAGGTCGACAATGCTGAATTCTTCATTCAATTGGCTCTTCAGCTTCTCAATCCTGGCCTCAGTTTTACTGATAATGATGAAGTCATCCACGTGGACAGCAAAATACACTTCCTCTGACTCATCCGTAGATCTGTATAAACATCTGTCAGCAAAACATTGTTCATACCCATATTTCTTCAGTGTCTTGTCGAGATGATCATTCCAGGATTTCGCCGCTTGTTTTAGTCCATAAATACTTTTCCTTAAACGACATCCCCAGTCATTCTTCCCCTCGACGAAATAACCTGGAGGCTGCTTCATATATATCGTTTCCTTTAATTTTCCATTAAGAACAGCTGTTTTTGCATCAAAATGTTTGATAATGTATTTCCTCTCTGCAGCTATTGACAATAAAATCCTGATTGTCGTATTTTTTACTACTGGAGCGAAAGTTTCATCGTAATCTCGTCCAAATTTCTGCGAGACACCTTGCGCAACTAGCCTTGCTTTGTGCTTTACTGCTTGATTTGACGAATTTCTTTTCATTTTGTAAACCCATCGACAGCCAATTGCCGTGTTCTTTCGAGGTATTGGTTCCAGATCCCATGTTTCATTCTGGATCAACGCGTTCATTTCGTCATCCATTGCCTTTTTCCATTTTTCAGCATCTGGTCCCTCCATGGCTTGCTTGAATGTAGAGGGTTCTCCATCCCCATTGATGACAGCTTCCGTTCCATCATCTTCTGATTCGTCGTCTTCTTCTAGACTTGACTCGTCCTGACTTCCAGTATCTTTTTCACCAAGCGCCCCAATCGCCTTCAATTTGTCGATTAATGATGTTTCGCCTTCGCTGGACTCAGTCTCGTCAATAATTTCTGGTGTATCGCTTCCTGATACGTTCGGTGTTTTGAAGTCCTCTGACGTATTGTCATTTTCTGGTAGCTCTGGTTCGCCATTTTCTTCCTGCTCCGTCTCATCCCCACAGTCGCTCCTTATGAAGATCATTCAAGATTCCCTTTCCTGAATTATTGGCTCTTGGTCCTCGTCCAACTCGATAAACTCCGTATCTCGACTTATGATGACCTTCCCCGTGGTCCTGTTGAGCAATCGATATGCTTTCGTTTCTGTCGCATATCCTACCATGACACATGTTGTTGCCTTCTTGTCAAGTTTACTCCTCAGTTGTTTAGGCACGTGAGCATAAGCCTTGCAGCCGAATATCTTCAAATGCCCCACATCAGGCTTCACTCCATACCACAGCTCATGCGGAGTCCTCTGTCTTGACCTTGTTGGCGATCTGTTTTGGAGATACGCGGCTGTTACCACCGCCTTTCCCCAGTAACAATTGGGTAGTCCCGCATCTGTCAACATCGTCCTTGCCGCCTCTATCAAGGAGCGATTCTTGCGCTCCGCCACTCCAT